GGCCATGGTCAAGACACTGAATATGCATGAACCTAGTAGCCTCCACTGAGTGTTTAGACAGGTCTAGCAGCACGATAGCCAAACATCTGAATACTTTTAGAGTCAGAGTAATCCTCAGTTCCCACAGGATCTGCTGCGCAAAGGGAGAAAAAACGGAACTGCAGAGAGATTGCAGAACACCTCCTCCTGCACACCTCTGAACGCTCAGGTTTAACTCCAAAAAGTAGGAAAATATGTGTAATTCATCAGATGACTAGAAACCACCACAGTGGCACAAGAAATATGAGAAGCCAAGAAAATCTCTCTCCCTCAAGGGAAAGAACAATTCCTCATCCTGCACAGATAATACAATGGAACTCATGGAAATGTCAGATAAAGAATTTAGAATATTCACACTGACAAAGCTAACAGAGATGCAAGAGAAGAGAGACAACAAACTCCAGAAGATACAGAAGAAAAGAGACAGTGAGTTCCAGGAGGTGAGGAAGTTCTTGCATGATCTGAAAGAGGGAATACCATAAACAAAGGAACAAAAGGAATTGTTAGAGATGAAGGCTATAATACAGGAAATCAAAACCTCCCTTGAAAGTATTAAAAGATTAGATGATGCAGAAGATCAAATCTCAGACGTAGAAGACAGAGCCTCTGACCTAGGAAAATTCACCAAAAATACTGAGAAAATAACCCCAAATATTGAGAATAATATATAGGTAATACTAGATACCATTAAACCCCCAAACATCTGGATAATCGATATTCCAGAAGGTGAGGAAACTAATAAGTGCATTGATAATCTATCCCATGAAATCCTGAAAGAAAACTTTCCAAAACTTTCCAAACCTAGAGGCATTCACATATCCAAACCCAAGAAATGCAAAGGACCCTATGTAGAATCAAACCAAGAAGATCTTCAAGGCACATCATAACTAGATTGACCAAAACCACAGAGACAAGATACTAAAATTGGCAAGAGAGAAACATCAAGTTACTTTCAAAGGATATCTATCCAATCAGGCTAACATCGAACCTCTCATTGGAAACATTGCAAGCAAGAAAAGAATGGGAAAATATATTCAAAGTGTTAAGTGAAAAACAGTTTCAACCAAGAATAACTATACGTGGCAAGATTATCCTTCATATGGGAAGAAAGGACAAAAACATTCCCAGTTAAACAAAAGCTGAAAGAATTTACCAATACCAGACCAGCTCTCTAAGAAGTTCTGAAGGGAGTGCTATAGCAGGAGAATTAAAGTCAGTCACACAGAAATAAGGGTACCAAAAAAAAACAAAAATCAAGGGAATGGCCAATGTAATGATAGGAACAGCTCTGGAAAGCTCTCTAACAACACTGAACGATAACTTCCAGAATTTAAACTAAAAGATCGGACCACAGTAACACTGAAAATTCAAAAGAGAGGTTAACATGAGACTGAACTGGTGAAGTAGTATTTTACAATTTTTGACTAAAACATCACTGATTTTCTTCTATACTTTGTTTTCAAGATTTAAGGATTTTTGGTCTTCTCTTAAACTGTTGACAGTTTCATCTACCTACAGTTTGGACTGAGTCCTAACCTTTTTCTTGGCTTTAAGGCTTAAGCAAATTTCTCTTAACATGTTTTTATTTTGATCTATAAAAACTAAAACTCTTTGGGACCAGCAGTTAGTGTAATGGCTATGTCGCTGGACTCCCATGTAGTCGACCGCGGTTCGAGTACTGGACCCAGTGGCTTAAACTCATGCTGGGCGTGTGTGTGTGTGTGTGTGTGTGTGTGTGTGTGCCCAAGATCCCAAGAGGAGAATGGAGAAGGGATTGCAGTGTGGCTATCCCCCCCTGGGGGGGTGACTTCTTGCTTTCTGTCTCTCTGTCTCTGTCTGGCGAGCGCACGTGCCCTATAGCAAAAACCTCTCCCTCTAAAAACAACAAAAAAACCTAAAACTCTTTTTAAATTAAAATATCCATTAAAAAAATACCTATATAATGATTGCAATAAGCTATCTAGCCCCAGTTAGGTGCTACTTTATGTACGTTCATTCTATTCAATGAGATTGATGCCTAAAGTCAGACGTGTTCATAGATTGTTCATAGATATGTGTCTATCAGCTGCACTTGGTATTGAAAGCATTTAGATTAATTAAGATATTTCGTGAATCAATAAGATGTGAAGAAAAAAAAGCATGGAAAGCAACTGTAGATACCAGAGACAGTGTGGGTGGAGGGTGGGAAATGGCAGAGGGTGAGAAATCAGAAGACAAGTACCAAAAGTGTACAAATCTTTTCTTTTTTTTTTGAGAGTTGTTTTTTTTTTTTTTTTTTTTTTTTCTATAGGGCACATGCACTTGCCAGAAAGACAGAGACAGAGAGACAGAAAGCGAGAAATTACCCACCCCCCACCCCCGGGGGGATGGTCACACCACAATCCCTTCTCCTCCATTCTCCTCTCAGGATCTTGGGCACACACGCACATGTGCCCTGCATGAGTTTAAGGCACTGGGTCCAGGACTTGAACCGCAGTTGGCTACATGGGAGTTCAGCAACATAGCCATTACACTAACTGCTGGTCCCAAAAGTGTACAAACGTTAAAACAGAAACAGACTAAACAGTATCAATGCTGACAGTGCTGAGAAAATCAAATTCCTCTTTTATAGACTTTATATGCAGCAGTGTCCCTGGCAGGAATCTCCCTGTGGTTGAGCAGAGTAATAGTGGTACTCAGGCAACTTCCAGAGCTCCATGTCCACATGGTGACTTTATGACAACAGATGAATCATAAAGTAGTCATTTAACAAACCGCAAAATGCCTATTTTGAAAAATCCAGATAGGGACCAGCAGTTGGCATAATGGCTATGTCTCTGGACTCCCATGTAGTTGATCGAGGTTTGAGTCCCGAATCCGGTAGCTTAAACTCACGCTGGGCATCACGTGCATGCCCAAGATCCTGAGAGGAGAATGGAGGAGAAGGGCCATCCTCCTGCAGAGGGTGATTTCTCGCTTTTTGTCTCTGTCTTTCTGGTGAGCACACACGTCCTATAGCAAAAAACTCTCAAAAAATAAAAAAAAAGAAAAGAAAAGAAAGAAATATCCAAATGCTTTTCCTTAACAGACCTTTCGGTGCTTGGAATTCACACCTACATTAGCTCAAAAACTGCAAAATACCAGGACTGAGTAATGCTGTGTCCTACTGTACCAAATTAAATTCAAATGAATTGGAAGAAAAGCTGTCATGTTTTCTCTTCATAAGCCTAATATTTATTCACTTACATGTTTCATAAAAACAGGTGAGGAAAAGGGGATAAATGAAGACAGAAGAGTAAATGAAAAACTTCTTTTATTCAATTACCTAATTTCTTTAAAAACTAAGTTTTTAATTAAGCCCCATTTGCTGCTTGAAATGTTAATCCTACCAAATGCAGTCAGCTAGGCCTGGACTGGACATACTATTTAAACATTTTATTGAGATCACAAATGAATGACTAGCTTACCACTACAGTGTAATTAGGGAAGAAGAAACATTTACAGAAATATTTGAAACACTTAGAATTTAGGAAACACACACACACACAAACATATATATATATTTTTTTTTAATTAATTTATTTTTTTTTACCTGAGAAAGCTTTTTGTCATTACCATTAAAAAAATAACCATATAGGTTGTTTTAGATTATAAACAAAAATAAATAATCAGTACCCAAAGAGATGAACAGCCAGTGAAGGTACTCAGAATCAGACTGGATCAAAGTATTACTATGACACTCACTCATATATAAATGTAAGTGTTCACAATCACATTTATAGCAGAATGAATGCCTTATGAAAGCTAGGTTTACTTTCAGTGTAATTCTAATCAAATAGACCAAAAATCAGTATTCTTAAATAAGAGAGGTTATCTTTTTCTGTGAAACTGATGTGACTTGGTGCCACAGCTAAACTTTCCCTAATAGTAGCAGTATCATCAGCCCATGGCAACAAAATAATTTCATTTCTGGCATTTCATGGACTTTCATCAAAGCAACTGTATAAAGCATACAGACATCAACTCTGCTGGTCAATACAAACAAAAATGATGATTGTGGAGGCCAGCAGGTGGCATACTAGTTAAGGTGCTGGACTCCCACATGGCCAACTGTGTTTCGAGTCCTAGACCTGGTGGCTTGAAAATCACACTGGGCACATATGTGAGCACCCAACGTCCCAGGAGGAAAATGGAGAAAAATGGATTGTTGCATGACCTCCCCTCCCAGTAGGTGATTTCTCACTTCTTTCCCTCTCGTTGTTTCTCTCCAGTGAGAATACACATGGCCTATGGCAAAAACCTAAAAAATTAAATAAAACAATCATTGTGTTTGTGGAGCTCTTATCTTCCATGGTGACAAGTTAACATAGAAGGTTCTTTCTTACTAATCATAAGGCAGAGATCTGGAGGCAGAGGCAGAAATGTATAAAATTGGTAAAACTGCAAAATGGTGCTAGCATTCACAAAAAAGATCATGCCAAGATCAGATCCACATTGATTAAACATTGAAAATTCAGCTACAATCCAAACTCTGTCCATGAGCCCCAAAGCATGCATGCCAGCTGAAAGAAATGCAGAATTCAGCTGGTAATATTCTTTTGGAAGAGTACAGTAGGTTCTCACTAGAGTAATCACAAAAAGTAACCAAGACACATCACACTTCTTTTGTAGAATTAAAAATAAACAGTTGCAAGACTAAACATATTAAAGAATAATGGATCAAGAAAATACAGAAATTCATAATGGCTAGAGAAGAGACACAGGGCTATCCTGCCTTTATATCCATGAGCTGCATCTGTACATTGGCAGAAACTGCACCACCAAAGCCTCCCTTGGACGACATTTGGTTCTGAATGTCATGGGGCTAACTTATTTCGTTCCACTGAACATGTCTTCTGATCCCTCATGAACTGTGCATACAGTCTGGTGGCTCTCTAATCACGCTCTGGTCAGTCATCGCTTTTTAGGGTGAGGCTATTGTGCAACACAGCAGTTGACATACAAGCAGAATTCACTCATTCTTACAGTCCAAGATATAAATGAACACCAGTGAGTTTCCAAATCCCAGCTCGGGAAGTTCCACATAGCATGCTCCTCAGTGTGATGAATGTCCCATAAGATCAAAATGACAATTTTGCTATTTCACTGTGTTTTCATTCCTGGAAGTCAAGTATCTTATATAGTCAATTTAGTTAAAAAAAAAAAAAAAAAGATTATTTCCTTTCTTTGCTTCTGGTTCTGTGGTCTCCTTTGTGAACCACCAGGATGGTATAGAAATTGTCTTCACTCAGGACCTGTAGGAGCGAGTCACTCCTTGTCAGTGTTCTATTCAGCTCTTTCTGGGTTGAGAACATTCTATATGATGCCTACAGAAGATTCTGAAGACTCACTGTAATAAGTTGCTCCTTGAAGGTTTTTTTCTCATTTAGGTTCAAGCTTTCAATCAGAAATTCACACTTTCGAAAGTGACTCCATCACCGCCGGGGCAGCTCTCAGGGCCAGCTCTGCAGCTGCCATGTGTTCTCCTGTGCCTACAGGCAGAGCAAGAGGCCAATAAGACTTTTATTGAAAGTAATTAAAATATTGGTCAAACTTAGTTTTTTAATTATGTCTAAAGATGAGTCAAATATAAAAACAAATATATATCTATAGTTAATCCTTTCCCCACGAAGGCAAAATTATTGAGGAATGTTTATTTTCCCTCTTTACATGGCTAATCCAAGAGATAATATGGCTGTAGGTGGTAAATTCATATTTTCTCTTTCATTGCTTCTCTCCCTTGAACCTGCAAATCTTTCAAAACCACATTAATGAGATGCAGGCTTGTGCTTGGAAAGAGAACATCCAGGTCTCACAGGTTCAGAGCCCAGTGGACTGACAGGCTCTTGTCCTCCACGCTAGCCACCATGTCTTCAATGGCATTCCAGTCAAGCTTGCTAAGGATGCTGCCAGTACTCTCTGACATGCTGTCCATGCCACCCATCCCAAAAGGAGTCCTTGGCTGCTCCTCTTCAGCTGGTGACAAGTCCTATTGAATTGAAAAGAGATTCAATTACGGTGCTAGCCCAAGAAAAAAAAGAACTGGAACCTGAACTAAGTTCCCAAAGGTCCTAGAGTTTCTCATCCATTAAAAGGCTAAGGCAATGTGAAAGGAACCAGGATCACAGTTGCCCAGAAAATACAAAGTTGAGCCCCCAGATGGCATAGCAGTTATGTCACTGGACTCCCACATGGCCGACCATGGTTTGAGTCCCAGACCTGCTAACTTGAAAAGTCACATTGGGTGCACGTGCATGTGTACTCAAGATACAGGAGGAGAACAGAGGAGTAGGGATTGTGGCGTGGCCATTCCCCTTGCGGGGTGATTTCTCACTTTCCCTCTCACTGTCTCTGTCTGTCTCTCTCTCTGGTAGGCACATGTACCCTAAGGCAAGGACATCTTAAAAAAAAAAAAAGAAGAAGAAAATATAAAGTTGAGAATTCTGAAAGATAAATGCTGAAATACTAAGTCAAAAAGTAAGATACTTTAGGGACCAGAGGTGGCATGGTGGTTAAGGTGCTGGACACTCCCACATGGCCAACCAGGGTTCAAGTCCTAAATCTGGTGGCTTGCTTTCTCACTTCCTCTCTCTCACTCTCACCCTGTCTCTCTCTGGTCAAACTAAAAAATAAGTGAATGAATAAAATAAAATAAATAATTATAAAAAAAAAGTAAGATACTTTCAATCACTATTTTAGACTGACCCAACAACCATTCAGTATTTCTACATCCCACACAAACCAAACAAACAAACAGAGTAATCACTAGACAAACTGAAGTTTGGAACAATGCTTACTTGAAGGAGAGAACTGGGACTCTCATGAAGAATCTTATGGATTTCTGAAGGTAATGTCCAGGGACTCACCACAGTCTCTTCTCTTTCATATTCTATACACACTTGCTTAGTTTGAGGTGCAAGCCCAGCACTTTTGTGGTTTTTTATTTGCTGCAGACTATGATACGGAGCATTAGAGTCTTTCAAGGGAAAAGAATAAAGCATATGTTGGGATTGATTCATCCATTCATTTGTTAATTTACTGTGACTTTTATCACTGAAGCCAAGGCAGTTAAGGTCTGGATATAGTTCACTTTAGGTTTCTGACAGTTCTTGGCCTATTACTGTGTGAGATGAAAACTGACTTCTGACCACCTCTTTTGATTTACAAGTAATGGTAATTATAGGACAAGAGAGTCTAAGGAGAGGCCAAAGATAAAACAGAATGGTGGGGCCAGCATGTGGTGTGGTTAAAGCACTAGACTCCCATATGGTTGATTGAGGTTTGAGTCCCAGACCCAACAACTGTGAATCAGGCCTAGCACATGATTGGATTGTAGCGTGGCCATCCCCCTAGAGGGGGATGATTTCTCACCTTCTCTCCCTTCAAAACAAAACAAAACAAAACAAAAATGAACTGTAAGGTCTCGACTTCAAAGTTGGGTAAGTTTGGAGAACTGAGCATTCCTCTTAGGGAAAATCTTATAGAAGCTTCCTAGAAGAAATGTTTCAGGCGTGTTCGCCCTGGCTTCATGCCTACAGTTTGCGCACAAGCATCAAGGTAAGTGTGGTAACAACACCCTTCCTTGGGTGTGACAACTCTTCCTCCTTACTATATATCAGTATTTGTTGAAAAAAGTCTTTCATCTCAATTAGTACCACAGGCAGCTGAGCAAACTCATCAGCAACAAAGGTTTCTGTACACAAGGCTCAACAGGCACTTGCTCCACCTTGCACAATTCACATTCCAAATCAATGTTACAACATGTTCGCCAAGGTGACCTAAAGAAATCCCTAAAACATGGGTGAATGGGAAATAAACACAGGCCCTCTGCATGCAGTCATGGGGCTCCTTGAAGAGAGGAGAAAGAGGTAAGAGAGGGCTATAGTTTGGGTCCACTTGGTCTTTTACAGCTCTGTTGATCTCATATGCCTAATGCAGAGAGTACCTCCACAAAACAAGCCTCCCCCAAATAATAGTAGCATTTTTGGCATTTACTACGAGCTAAACCTTGTCTTTGAGTCCATGAACAGTCTTTATTTGATTTACCTTCAAAATGTATTCCAACTCTAATGACTTTTCTTACTCCGGTTGTTATAATCCCAATCCAAGCAATTTCTCTGCTTGCCTAACTTGTGTTCTTTTTCTCGAAATATTTGAAACACTTAGAATTTAGGAAACACACACACACACAAACATATATATATATATTTTTTTAATTAATTTATTTTTTTTTACCTGAGAAAGCTTTTTGTCATTACCATTAAAAAAATAACCATATAGGTTTTTTTAGCTGGCAATGACTCGGCCAGGCCCGTCCTTTTGTCCTCTTGGCTACTGCCATGGCCCCCAAAATATGTAGACTACACAAAGGCCAGTGACTCTGGAAGTCTTCCACAGTTAGTAGTATAGGTCAGAAATTCAACAAATTGCTAGTGCAAACAACTGGATACCATATTATGGTACATAATACAATATTATGGATACTACAATATTAAACAAAATTATAAACAAAAATAAATAATCAGTACCCAAAGAGATGAACAGCCAGTGAAGGTACTCAGAATCAGACTGGATCAAAGTATTACTATGACACTCACTCATATATAAATGTAAGTGTTCACAATCACATTTATAGCAGAATGAATGCCTTATGAAAGCTAGGTTTACTTTCATTGTAATTCTAATCAAATAGACCAAAAATCAGTATTCTTAAATAAGATAGGTTATCTTTTTCTGTGAAACTGATGTGACTTGGTGCCACAGCTAAACTTTCCCTAATAGTAGCAGTATCATCAGCCCATGGCAACAAAATAATTTCATTTCTGGCATTTCATGGACTTTCATCAAAGCAACTGTATAAAGCATACAGACATCAACTCTGCTGGTCAATACAAACAAAAATGATGATTGTGGAGGCCAGCAGGTGGCATACTAGTTAAGGTGCTGGACTCCCACATGGCCAACTGTGTTTCGAGTCCTAGACCTGGTGGCTTGAAAATCACACTGGGCACATATGTGAGCACCCAACGTCCCAGGAGGAAAATGGAGAAAAATGGATTGTTGCATGACCTCCCCTCCCAGTAGGTGATTTCTCACTTCTTTCCCTCTCGTTGTTTCTCTCCAGTGAGAATACACATGGCCTATGGCAAAAACCTAAAAAATTAAATAAAACAATCATTGTGTTTGTGGAGCTCTTATCTTCCATGGTGACAAGTTAACATAGAAGGTTCTTTCTTACTAATCATAAGGCAGAGATCTGGAGGCAGAGGCAGAAATGTATAAAATTGGTAAAACTGCAAAATGGTGCTAGCATTCACAAAAAAGATCATGCCAAGATCAGATCCACATTGATTAAACATTGAAAATTCAGCTACAATCCAAACTCTGTCCATGAGCCCCAAAGCATGCATGCCAGCTGAAAGAAATGCAGAATTCAGCTGGTAATATTCTTTTGGAAGAGTACAGTAGGTTCTCACTAGAGTAATCACAAAAAGTAACCAAGACACATCACACTTCTTTTGTAGAATTAAAAATAAACAGTTGCAAGACTAAACATATTAAAGAATAATGGATCAAGAAAATACAGAAATTCATAATGGCTAGAGAAGAGACACAGGGCTATCCTGCCTTTATATCCATGAGCTGCATCTGTACATTGGCAGAAACTGCACCACCAAAGCCTCCCTTGGACGACATTTGGTTCTGAATGTCATGGGGCTAACTTATTTCGTTCCACTGAACATGTCTTCTGATCCCTCATGAACTGTGCATACAGTCTGGTGGCTCTCTAATCACGCTCTGGTCAGTCATCGCTTTTTAGGGTGAGGCTATTGTGCAACACAGCAGTTGACATACAAGCAGAATTCACTCATTCTTACAGTCCAAGATATAAATGAACACCAGTGAGTTTCCAAATCCCAGCTCGGGAAGTTCCACATAGCATGCTCCTCAGTGTGATGAATGTCCCATAAGATCAAAATGACAATTTTGCTATTTCACTGTGTTTTCATTCCTGGAAGTCAAGTATCTTATATAGTCAATTTAGTTAAAAAAAAAAAAAAAAAGATTATTTCCTTTCTTTGCTTCTGGTTCTGTGGTCTCCTTTGTGAACCACCAGGATGGTATAGAAATTGTCTTCACTCAGGACCTGTAGGAGCGAGTCACTCCTTGTCAGTGTTCTATTCAGCTCTTTCTGGGTTGAGAACATTCTATATGATGCCTACAGAAGATTCTGAAGACTCACTGTAATAAGTTGCTCCTTGAAGGTTTTTTTCTCATTTAGGTTCAAGCTTTCAATCAGAAATTCACACTTTCGAAAGTGACTCCATCACCGCCGGGGCAGCTCTCAGGGCCAGCTCTGCAGCTGCCATGTGTTCTCCTGTGCCTACAGGCAGAGCAAGAGGCCAATAAGACTTTTATTGAAAGTAATTAAAATATTGGTCAAACTTAGTTTTTTAATTATGTCTAAAGATGAGTCAAATATAAAAACAAATATATATCTATAGTTAATCCTTTCCCCACGAAGGCAAAATTATTGAGGAATGTTTATTTTCCCTCTTTACATGGCTAATCCAAGAGATAATATGGCTGTAGGTGGTAAATTCATATTTTCTCTTTCATTGCTTCTCTCCCTTGAACCTGCAAATCTTTCAAAACCACATTAATGAGATGCAGGCTTGTGCTTGGAAAGAGAACATCCAGGTCTCACAGGTTCAGAGCCCAGTGGACTGACAGGCTCTTGTCCTCCACGCTAGCCACCATGTCTTCAATGGCATTCCAGTCAAGCTTGCTAAGGATGCTGCCAGTACTCTCTGACATGCTGTCCATGCCACCCATCCCAAAAGGAGTCCTTGGCTGCTCCTCTTCAGCTGGTGACAAGTCCTATTGAATTGAAAAGAGATTCAATTACGGTGCTAGCCCAAGAAAAAAAAGAACTGGAACCTGAACTAAGTTCCCAAAGGTCCTAGAGTTTCTCATCCATTAAAAGGCTAAGGCAATGTGAAAGGAACCAGGATCACAGTTGCCCAGAAAATACAAAGTTGAGCCCCCAGATGGCATAGCAGTTATGTCACTGGACTCCCACATGGCCGACCATGGTTTGAGTCCCAGACCTGCTAACTTGAAAAGTCACATTGGGTGCACGTGCATGTGTACTCAAGATACAGGAGGAGAACAGAGGAGTAGGGATTGTGGCGTGGCCATTCCCCTTGCGGGGTGATTTCTCACTTTCCCTCTCACTGTCTCTGTCTGTCTCTCTCTCTGGTAGGCACATGTACCCTAAGGCAAGGACATCTTAAAAAAAAAAAAAGAAGAAGAAAATATAAAGTTGAGAATTCTGAAAGATAAATGCTGAAATACTAAGTCAAAAAGTAAGATACTTTAGGGACCAGAGGTGGCATGGTGGTTAAGGTGCTGGACACTCCCACATGGCCAACCAGGGTTCAAGTCCTAAATCTGGTGGCTTGCTTTCTCACTTCCTCTCTCTCACTCTCACCCTGTCTCTCTCTGGTCAAACTAAAAAATAAGTGAATGAATAAAATAAAATAAATAATTATAAAAAAAAAGTAAGATACTTTCAATCACTATTTTAGACTGACCCAACAACCATTCAGTATTTCTACATCCCACACAAACCAAACAAACAAACAGAGTAATCACTAGACAAACTGAAGTTTGGAACAATGCTTACTTGAAGGAGAGAACTGGGACTCTCATGAAGAATCTTATGGATTTCTGAAGGTAATGTCCAGGGACTCACCACAGTCTCTTCTCTTTCATATTCTATACACACTTGCTTAGTTTGAGGTGCAAGCCCAGCACTTTTGTGGTTTTTTATTTGCTGCAGACTATGATACGGAGCATTAGAGTCTTTCAAGGGAAAAGAATAAAGCATATGTTGGGATTGATTCATCCATTCATTTGTTAATTTACTGTGACTTTTATCACTGAAGCCAAGGCAGTTAAGGTCTGGATATAGTTCACTTTAGGTTTCTGACAGTTCTTGGCCTATTACTGTGTGAGATGAAAACTGACTTCTGACCACCTCTTTTGATTTACAAGTAATGGTAATTATAGGACAAGAGAGTCTAAGGAGAGGCCAAAGATAAAACAGAATGGTGGGGCCAGCATGTGGTGTGGTTAAAGCACTAGACTCCCATATGGTTGATTGAGGTTTGAGTCCCAGACCCAACAACTGTGAATCAGGCCTAGCACATGATTGGATTGTAGCGTGGCCATCCCCCTAGAGGGGGATGATTTCTCACCTTCTCTCCCTTCAAAACAAAACAAAACAAAACAAAAATGAACTGTAAGGTCTCGACTTCAAAGTTGGGTAAGTTTGGAGAACTGAGCATTCCTCTTAGGGAAAATCTTATAGAAGCTTCCTAGAAGAAATGTTTCAGGCGTGTTCGCCCTGGCTTCATGCCTACAGTTTGCGCACAAGCATCAAGGTAAGTGTGGTAACAACACCCTTCCTTGGGTGTGACAACTCTTCCTCCTTACTATATATCAGTATTTGTTGAAAAAAGTCTTTCATCTCAATTAGTACCACAGGCAGCTGAGCAAACTCATCAGCAACAAAGGTTTCTGTACACAAGGCTCAACAGGCACTTGCTCCACCTTGCACAATTCACATTCCAAATCAATGTTACAACATGTTCGCCAAGGTGACCTAAAGAAATCCCTAAAACATGGGTGAATGGGAAATAAACACAGGCCCTCTGCATGCAGTCATGGGGCTCCTTGAAGAGAGGAGAAAGAGGTAAGAGAGGGCTATAGTTTGGGTCCACTTGGTCTTTTACAGCTCTGTTGATCTCATATGCCTAATGCAGAGAGTACCTCCACAAAACAAGCCTCCCCCAAATAATAGTAGCATTTTTGGCATTTACTACGAGCTAAACCTTGTCTTTGAGTCCATGAACAGTCTTTATTTGATTTACCTTCAAAATGTATTCCAACTCTAATGACTTTTCTTACTCCGGTTGTTATAATCCCAATCCAAGCAATTTCTCTGCTTGCCTAACTTGTGTTCTTTTTCTCCCATGTGATCTAAAATTATATCATCTCCCTGCTTAACTTTACCCTCTGGAGTCTCAATGAATCCAAAGCAAAATTATCACTCCTTACCTTAGCCTACAGTCTCTAGCCCATCTTGCCAACCGTATCGTTTGTCACTTTTCTACAAAAATCTTTTTTGTTATACCAAATTTGTCTGTCTCTGGGCTTTGAACTTGCTGTTCTTTTGCCTGGAACCATTCCTCCTTATCCTTACATACTAGTCTCCTTTTTATGAGTTTTTTTTTTAATAATTATTTTATTTTTATCATTCATTTATTATTTTTTATTTTGACCGAGAGAGACAGAGGTTGAGAGTGAGAGAGAGAGGAAGTGAGAAAGCAAGCCACCAGATTCAGGACTTGAACCCTGGTCAGCCATGTGGGAGTGTCCAGCGCCTTAATCACCACACCACCTGCTGGTCCCAATTTTTTGTTTCTTAAGGTTTTTGCCATAGGGTGCGTGCACTCACTGGAGAGTGAGATGTCTCCTCCAGTGGGGGAGTCAGGGGAATGGCCTTTTCCTCCATTCTCCCCCTGAGATTCTGGGCACACGTGTACACAAGCCTGACATAATTTTCAAGCCACTGGATCTGGGACGCGAACTGCAATCAGCCATGTGGGAGTCCAGTGGCTTAACGACTATATCACCTGCTGGCCCTCAAAGAGCTCTTTAACCAGTTTTATCTAAAGTATCTCCACCTAACCAGGCATACTCTCCCTTTATGTGTTACTTTCTGTGCTGTTAATGACTGACAATGCCTGGTATGTATTAGGAGCTCAACAGACAGTTGCTAAATGAGTATTTATGACAATCCTATGGGGAAAGTGTTACTGCCCCAGTTTTGCAAACAAGGAAAGTGGGTTATATAATTTGCCCAAGATGATGGAGATCTTCCACCCCCAGAACGTGAGCTAATTATTAACTTCTATTATTTAGGATAAAGTAAGATAATACTCAGCGGGCACTTTAAGATAATCTTGTATCTGTAAGTGAGGAATCAGTGGGTCTATTTATTTGGATCTCCAAGGCAGCAACTTTCCAACAGTTTCTGCCAGGATTAATACCAAAAGAAGGAGATGGTCTTACAAGAAGGTTTAGAGATTTTTCTTTTGAATAGCCCCAAGTGTCTAAAAGAGAAACTAAGTTAATATCACATGGTAGCACCTGTTGCTGCCACTGTAACATCCAATGTGAAAACTGCTCTAGCTGAAAAAGTTTGACCTTTTTTTCTGCTATTTAAAGACATCACTAAGTATGTTGAGATGCTATGCAAAGTCCTAGGTTGAGATAATTATTTCGGTAAATATTAGATTGTCAGAAAAGTCATGATGTATTTTTCTTTTTTTTTTTTTTTGAGAGGTTTTTGCTATAGGGCGTGTGTGCTCGCCAGAAAGACAGAGAGAGACAGAGAGACAGAAAGGGAAAAATCACCTCCCAGGGGGATGGCCACGCTGCAATCCCTTCTCCTCCATTCTCCTCTCGGGATCTTGGGCACACACGCTCACGTGCCCGGTGTGAGTTTAAGCCGAGTCCGGGACTCAAACAGTGGTCAACTACGTGGGAGTCCAGCGACATAGCCATTATGCTAACTGCTGGTCCCAATAAATAATTCTTTAAAAGAAAGAAAGATTGTGCTGGACTCACATGGTTGACCACATTCAAGTCCCACACCTGGTGGCTTGGAAATCACACTGGGCTTGTGTGTGTGCATGCCCAACATCCTGAGAGGAGGCTGGAGGAAAATGGATTGCAGTGTGTTTGTCACTTCCCCTCTCTCTGTCTCTCTCTGGCAAACACATGTACCCTGCAGCAAAAACCTTTAAAACAAAAATGAAACACTGTGATAAATAAATTACTGTTAAAACACAGAAAAAGTAAGACTAAGTGAGAAGCTAGCAAGTGAGTAAGCAGTATTGTAACCGCAAGGGTAGACTGTCTCTTCTAAGTGTTAATAGATGGAAACAAATGAGACAGGGTGCTGAATTGGTCCTTCAAGTATTCAGGTCATGACGAAAAATTAGCAAAGGCTGTAAACACCAACTAATCCCTACTCCCATCTCTGTTACCATTAATTTGGTCTCCACATTTCAACACTTTTGTCAAATGAACATAATTACTGCCATCTGGAAAAATGAGACAGTCAAAACACCAACTCCACTGAATTTAAGGTTAAAAACCTTGCATTTTAGGGCCAGCAGGTGGTGTAGTGATTGAGGTGCAGAACACTGGCTGACTGCGATTCAAGTCCCAGACCAGGTGGCTTGAAATCACATAAAGGGGGCTGGCAGGTGGCATGTTGGTTAAGGTACTGGATTTCCACATGGCTGGCTGTGTGATTCGAGTCCTGGATGTGGCAGCTTGCTTTCTCACTCTTCCTCTCTCTCTAAGAATAACTAAAGAATAATAATGGTGATAAGTAGAATAAAATAAATAATTCTAACCAAAAAAAAAAGAGAGAAAAGAATTATAAACAAATAAATGTTAACATCTAAAAAAAAAAAGCAACACTGTAACAAAAAACAAGAAGGGGTCAGTGAGTAACATGGTGTAGTAAGGGCAGCTGGATTCTACATGGTCAACTGTACAGTTCAAGTCTCAGATATAGAAGCTTGAAAAAAAAATGCTGGGTTTATGTGCATATGTGCCCCAAATCCCAAGAGGAGAATGGAGGAGAAGGGACTGTGACATGGTCATTCCTCTGGGGTGGGAGGTGCTTTCTCACTTTCTCTCTCCTTCACTCTTTTTGTCTCCCTCCAACAAACACATAATGCCCTATAGCAAAACAACAACAACAACAAAAATCAAAATGGCAGACAGTGTCTACTACCTTATTATAAAGAAAGAGTGCTGCTTTTCCGAAGGAAACTGGTACACTGGCCATCCTGGTTTTCTGTTTTTTGTTTTGTTTTCCTTTTTAAATTTGCTATAGGGCATGTGCACTTGACAGAGAGAGAAAATGAGAAAGCACCCCTCAGGGGGAATGGCCATGCTGCAGTCCCTTCTTCATTCTCCTCTAGGGATTTTGGGCACACATGCACAATTGCCTGGTCTGTTTTTCTGGCTGTCTGGTCCAGGACTTGAACCACTGTTGGCTATGTGGGATCTAGCCACTTTAACTACCACACAACCTAGCTGGCCTAACTTTGTTTCTTTACAACAGGTTGCCAAACAGTGCCTACAGAGGCTAGCTTAAGGAACCTGAAAATGATTGAACTCATGACCTCCACCATCCCCTCAAGACAACCCTGCTCCTCCTCTGCACTACTTGTGTCAATCAGTGGGCCCAGTTTAGCCAAGCACTCAAACTGGAAACCTGGAGTCATCCCAGCGTCTTATTCTCAGAGGCAGGGCTATCACTGCACAAGAAACCAAATACCTAAAACTTTCTATGGGCAAGGTCTCAGGTTAGATCATGAGGTACCTCAAGAACATAAAACTCTAGATCTCTGGAGCTTTCACAAACAAGCAATATAAATGTACATGTATTGGGGGCTGGTAGGTGGTGTGGTGGTTAAGGCACTGGACTCCCACATGGTAAACTAAGGCTTGAGTCCTGGACCTAGTGGCTTGCTTTCTCACTTTCCCTCTGTCTCTTTCTGGTCAAATTAAAAAATAATAACAACAATAGGAATAAAATGAAATAAATTAAAATTTTTTAATAATTAAAAAACTACATAAACTTTCATCTGTTTTTAGGGATAACACTGTATTTTAGAACATTTTATCTTTTGATTAGACATTGCTAAGATATTTGCTTAGAAAAAAAAAAGCTATCGAGTACTATTACAAACAGTATTTTACAAAAGATTAAAATGAGAAACTCTCAAGAAAAAAAAAAAAAGGAAAAAAGCCTGAATTAATCCTAACAACCAGAACCATGTGTTTTAATGTGTACATGGGGGAAAAGATGGAGGAGGAGCCAAAATAGAACTATAAAATATAGCTTCCGACATGAAAAACTCAGTAGATGAATTAAATAGCTGCCTAGGTAGAGCTGAAGAAAGATGTGGTAAACTGAAAGATCTGCAAAGAAAAGAGGCACCAGTAGAAAGACAGGCATAATAGAAGGACTAGACTAATTCCTTCATTCTCATCATTTTTTTTTTTTTTGGAGAGGTTTTTTTGCTATAGGGCGCGTGCGCTCGCCAGACAGAGAGAGACATAGAGACAGAAAGCGAGAAATCACCCCCCAGGGGGGGTGGTCACACCGCAATCCCTTCTCCTCCATTCTCCTCTCGGGATCTTGGGCACGCACGCACACGCACCCGGCATGAGTTTTAAGCCACCGGGTCCAGGACACGAACCACGGTCGACTACGTGGGAGTCCAGCGACATAGCCATTACGCTAACTGCTGGTTCCCGATTCTCATCATTTTATAGTACATATAAATCAGTGTTTTCTCTTCATTATCATCCCTACCAAATTTAGATATTTTATTTAAATGGTAACTAACTCCACAGACTTCACTGGATTAATGTGAGGATTAAGTGTGAAAATGCACATAAGATGTTAGTACAGTGCTTGCTGTAGGGTTAGTATAACTCTTATTCACTATATTTATATAAGCAGACACTTAACTTCTCTAAGCCTTTGTCTCCTCAGTTGTTAAGATGAGATTAATAGCTGCCTGACTGCCCACCAGATTTGTTTCACTGTACGTCCTATTATAATCCTTATTTTTAAGGTGAGAAAACTGAGGATTACATAATGGATGAGAAATTTGCCCAGGGTGGGCCAGTGTGGTGGCTAAGGTGCTGGACTCTCACGTGGCTAACAGCAGTTTAAGTCCTGGACCTGGCAGCTTCCTTTCTCACTTTCTTTCTCTCTCTCTGAGTCTGTCTCTGGTGAGCACACATGCCCTACAGTAAATTAAAAATAATAACAACAATAATAATAAATAATTCTTTAAAAGAAGAGAGAGAAAGAAAGAGATTTACCCAGGATTATAGAATAAATGATGAATCAAAATTTCACAGAAGGTGCTTCTCTGAACTCCTGAGCTACATTGTCAAACCCTTTATCCTAAAATATTTGAAATTTGTAAGAGTGTGTAATAATTTTTTTTTTTTTTGCCTAAGGATGCATGTACTCAACAGAGAGAGGGAGAGGAAGAAAGCAGCTCCCAGCAGGGTGTGGTCAATTTTTGCTCCTCCATTTCTCCATTCCTGTTGAGTTTTAGGGGACCTGTGCATGCACACAGATGCCTGGTGTGTTTCCCAAGCTGCCAGGACTAGGATTCGAACCATATATCTGGTCATGTGGGCTCCAGATCTCTTAACCATCAGGCAAAGGGCCAGCCCTATGATTTTTTTTTTTAATTTAGTGTGAAATCTAAGAATTTTCTTCTAATTATCCCTTACCTTTCTGGAAGGTTACTGGAGACTTCACAGCCTTTCTTACTGCTGCTTTGACTCCACCACCTTTCTTCTGAATGGTAAAAGTAGCGGTTCCTATAAAGACAAATTGTTTCAACTTTCTATGTACACCCACGATTTTTCACATAAGGTAAGTTCTTTAAAGACAGAAATCTCCTGAACATCTCTGAATCTGCTCACCAAGCCCTGCACATAGAAGTCTAATAAATGGTAGTTGCTTTGAACCAAGAAAGCAAAACAAAAGTACAAAGGAAGGAAAAACTTTGAGAACTGGTATCCTTAGAGTACAAACATGGTCCTTTTTCAAATGGTAAGTATGTTTTGACATGTCTGGCAACTAGATAAACCAGGGACATAAGTCTATTAGCAGGAACACCTACACAAAATTAACTTTTATGAAGATAATGATTATCTAAGATTTCTTAAAGATAACAGTAGCCATTTACTGTCTATGCTATGCAAAATGTTTTATTTACAATCTTTTACAACCCTATAAGGTAGGTTTTTGGTTTTTTTTTTTTTCCAATTCAGGATAGAGCATATATATATATGTATATACACATACACATACATACATACATACATATACACATGTGAAAATAACAGAGGGCGAGAGATGGGTACCCTCTACAGGGTCTGGTCATGCTCCAGTCCTCTTCCACAGTCCTCTCGTCTGTGGTTGTGTCTCAGACTGACTAGGCCAGGGATTCGAACCTCAGTCACCACTTGAGATCCAGCTTCTTGTGAGCACCGCATTACTGCTGTATCATGAAGCTGGCCCAATAAAAGTAGGTTCCAAACAACATATCTGAGGGCACTAAGTAAGCAGTATAGCTGGAATATGAACCCAAGTCTAGATTATTCTAAAGCCTAGGATGCCTGCTACTAACCATACAGTCTTTATATTGATCTTTTAAAAATTTTATTTCAATTTCTTTTATACATTAGATCACGTTACTTAGCTTACAAAGTGTATATTCCAACAAAGTGAATATTCCAACATGTGTACATTTCTCACCAGTCCAGTTAACAATACTATAAAGTTATCTTCAACAGATAATAACCCATTTCTTTGTCCCATAAATGACTTGTCTATTTTTCTCCCTAATGTCCTTCCTCCTCATATTCTACTCCTTCACCCACCCTCTTCCCACAGTGTATTTGGTATTCACAACAATTTAGTATGTTTCTATATCCTTTAGTCATTCAGTTTCAGCCACAGAATGCAGACACTCGGCATATATTAAGTGGAGACATACACTGTCTCTCCTTCACAGCCTGGCTTGCTTCACTCAGCAGTAAATCTTCTACATGCATCTGCTTTTTTTTTTTTTTGAGAGGTTTTTGCTTTAGGGCGCGTGCGCACGCCAATCAGACAGAGACAGAAAGCGAGAAATCACCCCCCAGAGGGGATGGTCACGCCGCAATCCCTTCTCCTCCATTCTCCTCTCGGGATCCTGGGCACGCACACACACGTGCTTGGCATGAGTTTTAAGCCACCGGGTCCGGGACGCGAACTGCAGTTGACTACGTGGGAGTCCAGCGACATAAGCCATTATGCTAACTGCTGGTCCCCATACATGCATCCTTTTTTTTTTTTTTGCATCCACTTTTTATCAAAAACCAGGGTCTTGTTTTTTATGGCTGAGTAGTATTCCATAGAATATATGTGCCACAACGATTTCAATCTGTTCAACTGCTCATGAGCATTTGGGTTGGTTCTGTATGTTAGCAATTGTGAATAATACCACAATAAACATGGATGTGCATGCACTTTTCCGATTAAGAATTCTTCTGTCCTTTGGGTAGATACCAAGGAGTGGGATTGCTGGCTCATATTGGTAGTTATATTTGTACATTTTTGAGGAATCTCCAAATTGTTCTCCACAGTGGCTGGACCAATTTACATTCCAACCAGCAGTATAGGAGAGTTCCCCTTTCACCACTCCCCTGCCAGCAGTTATCTTTTTTTTTTTTTTTAATTTTAGTCATTTTGATGGGTTAGGTGGTATCTCATTGTGGTTTTGTTCTGCATCTTCCTTATAATGAGGGATGTTGAGCATTTTTTCCATATGCCTTTTGACTATTTGAATGTCTTCTTTAGAGAGTGATTCTTTCAATGCATTCTCCCATCTTTTAATAGAGTTGATCATCTTTTTTTCGGAACAGCTGCTTGAGTTCCCTGTGTATTCTTGATATCAGTCCCTTATCTGACATGTAGTTTACAAAAATATTTTCCCATTCTGAGGGCTGTTGATTTACACTAATTACTGTGTCTTTTGCCATGCAGAAACTTCTTAGTCTGATGTCGTCACACTTGATCTATTTTGGGGATTATTGACTGTGCTTTGGGGGTCTTATTTAAGAAGACTTTGCCTACCTCAGTGTCTCCAATCTGACTGTGCTTTGGGGGTCTTATTTAAGAAGTCTATGCCTACCTCAATGTCTCCGAGAGTTTCCCCACTGTTTTCGAGCAGTAGTTTTATAGTTTGAGGTCTTGGGTTTAGATCTTTGATACACTTTGAGTTGATTTTAGTCAATGGTGAGAGGTAGGGGTTCAGATTCATCTTTCTACAGATGGAAACCCAGTGTTTCCAGCACCATTTGCTAAAGAGGTTTTCCTTTTCGCACTGGACTGACTGGTACCCTTTGTCAAAAATCAGTTTGCTATATGTTTGGGAGTTTATTTCTGGGGACTCTGTTCGTGGTTCCATTGGTCTACCTGTTTCTGTGCCAATACCATGCTGTTTTGGTTACCCCAGCTTTGTAGTATATTTGTGGGCTAGGGAGTGAGATGCCACCCACTCCACTCTTCTTGCTAAGAATTGCTTTGGCAATATGAGGTTTTTTATGATTCCAGACAAACTGTATGACTGTCTTCTTTAGGTCTTTGAAGAATGTCTCTGGCACTTTGATTGGGATTGTGTTAAATACGTAGATTTGGGTAAAATTGCCATTTTGATTATTATTAATTCTTCCAATCCAGGAACATGGGGTGTCCTTCCACATTTTTGTGTCATTTTTAACTTCTTTTTTTATCTTCTTATAGATTTCCTTGTGGAAGTCCTCAACGTCTTTGGTCAGATTTATTCCTAGGTATCTTACATTTTTTGTGGCTATGGTAAATGGGATTACTTATTTGAGTTCTCTCAGTCTGCCTGCTGTTCATATATAGAAATGCTATAGATTTCTGTATGTTGATTTTGTACCCTGCAACTTTATTGTATTCATGTATTACTTCCAGGAATTTTTTCATTCATTGGGATGCCATTGGGTCTTCTATATATACAATCATGTCATTTGCAAATATAGTTTCACCTCCTCTTTTCCTATTTCTTTTTTTTTTCCTTTTTTTGGAGAGGTTTTTGCTATAGGGCGCGTGTGCTTGCCAGACAGACAGAGACAGAGAGATAGAAAGCGAGAAATCATCCTCCGGGGGGATGGCCACGCCGCAATCCCTTCTCCTCCATTCTCCTCTCGGGATCCTGGGCATGCACGCACACGCGCCCAGTGTGAGTTTAAGCCACTGGGTCCGGGACTCAAACTGCAGTCGACTACGTGGGAGTCCAGCGACATAGCCATTACGCTAACTGCTGGTCCCCTCTTTTCCTATTTCAATGCCTTTTATTTTATTCTCATTTGTGGTTGCACTGGTGAGGACTTCAGTACTATATTCAAAAGGAGTAGAGAAAGTGGACATCTTTGCCTTGTACCAGTTTTAAGTGGAAAAGCTTTCAGCTTTTCTCCATTCAGGATGATGTTAGCTATGAGTTTTTCATAGATAGCTTTTATTGTGTTGAGAAATTACCCTTCTATGCTGATTTTGCTGAGAATCTTGATCATGAAGGGATGTTGTATCTTATAAAATACTTTTTCTGCATCAATTGATATGATCATATAGTTTTTATCTTTCTTTCCGTCAATATGGTGTATTACATTTATGGTTTTACATATGTTGAACCAACCTTGAATCCCTGAAATAAAGCCCACCTGGTCGTGATGTATAATCTTTTTTATATGTTGTTGCATATGATTTGCTAGTATCTTGAGAATTTTTGCGTCTATACTCATCAGAGATATTGCTCTATATTGGTCTATAGTTTTCCTTCCCTGCCTTAACCTTATCTGTTTTGTGGATAAGGGTGATGGAGGTTTCATAGAATGAATGTGGGAGAGTTTCACCCTTTTGGATCTTTAGAAATAACTTGAGAAGAATAGCAGTTAACTCTTCTTTAAAAGTTTTGTAGAATTCAGAAGTGAAGCCATCAGGACCAGAGCTTTTCTTTGTTGAGAGGTTATTTATTACTGATTTAATCTCTTGGCTTGTTATGGGCCTATTCAGACTTTCTACATCCTCCTGGCTCAATCTTAGTAGATTATATGTGTCCAGGAATTTGTCAGTCTCATCCAGATTTTCTTGTTTGTTAGCATATAGTTGTTCATAGTATCCTCTAATGATGTTTTATATTTTTATTATGTCTGTTGTAATATTGCCAGCTTCACTGCAAATTTGATTTACCTGGTTCCTTTCTCTCTTCTTAGTAATAAGTCTCACTAGTGGTGTATTGATTTTGTTTATCTTTTCAAGAACCAGCTTTTACCTTCATTTATTTTCTATATAGTTCATTTATTTTCTATTTAGTTTATTTCTGCTCGGATCTTTATTATTTCCTTTCTCCTGGAGTTTTTTGGATTATTTTGTTGTTGCTTTTCCAATTCTCTGAGGCACAATGTTAGGTGATCCATTTGCCTTCTTTCCATCTTCTTATTTGCACTAATTGCTATGAAATTCCCTTTTATGACTGCTTTTGCAGTGTCCCAAAGATTATGGAAACTCGTGCCCTCATTGTCATTAAGTAAAAGAGAGAATGAAAGTGAGAAAGCAAGCCACCAGGTCCGGGACTCAAACCATGGTCGGCCATGTGGGAGTCCAGCACCCTCAACCAACACACCACCTGCCGGCCCTGATGCTGGATATAGTTTCTATGCCTTTGAATCTGTAGAGGCTTCCTTTGTGCCTTATCATGTGGTCAATCTTCGAAAAGGTTCCATGTGGGGGTGAGAAAAAAGTGTAT